AACATATCCTTCTAGTAGCTGACCTGCTTAAAGGGTATAAATTTGAGTCAAGAAATGACACCTGGACTGAAAATTCAGACTTGCCTGCAAACATGAGTTAACTCTCAGCAAAATGCACACGATTATTTTCTCATCTGCCAAAGTTTTCCCTTTCCTCCCTCCTAAACATCACCATTCGTTTTAACATGTTGCTTTTTTAAAATTATTCCGATTCAAATACAGCAAAGTGTTGCATGTTTTGTCCTCACACATTATATTATATATTAGTATTCTTTTGAAAGGATTTTGTTGTCTACTACTAACAGGACAAGAAAGCCTTGAAAATGGACGTGCTTATAGTGACCAACTTGGAGGGATCTAAATGTTATATATTAAGTGTTATACATCCATGTTATTCAGTTTTAAATTAAGCTACTTCAACCCAGGGAAAAGTATAAAATGAATGAAGCAGCTTCTGAAATTCAAACTTTTGTGTTAGACAGGTCACTTCACACACCCTTCCAAAGGCATCCAAAGGGGAGTCTGTAAGGGCTGATGGTTATGGCAGCAGAAAAGGCTCTGGCAGTGCTTCCTCAGCACCCTTTATCTTCTCATCCACCACCAGGGCTCAGGGCCCTGCCAGGAAAGGTCCCCTTCATTCACCTAAAGCAGTGAACCAAATTAGCCTGGAGACACTTTCATCCTCACATCAGGCTCGCCAAGGTCACTTGCCCAGTACAGTTTTGGGTGTGTTTGTGTGGCCACAGTGGTGACCCAGCCATGTGGGGCTTCTGCTAGAGGCAGCTCACTGCTGGCAGAAACATTGTGGCCAGCTAAGGGGCACACATCTGTCCAGCTGCTACATCCACCATCCATGGGGTGCACAGGGATGATCCGCCTGCATTCTCATAAAATCCCACAAATGCCCTGCTCAGAACAGAGCAGACTCTGTCCTTCACCAAAGAGGAAGAAACAAATGCTGGGCTGCCTCTCAGAAGTCCATGCAGCAGAACCTGGCTTGAAACCAGCAGGTTTCTGGCCTGAATCTGACCCAGGCTCATTAGTCTTTAGCTATTTCTGTCTAGCCTGGAGCATCTCACAGATGAAGGATATTCAGAGCCCAGACAGTCTTCTACTGTGAGCATTTTGGCTCCTCAGAGCTATAATCAGTCCAATGGGTTGCTGTTGCAACTTTTTCTGGGTTTAAAGTCAAGTACTGCAAGGACAGGTACTGGGAGCCAAAAACACCTTCTCAGTTAAAAGTAAACAGGGTCCATTAAATTCTGTTGACCTTTTACTTAGTATTACCGGAACTACAAATATACTTCTTTAATACAGAAAAATTTGGATTATGATGCAATTATGTTACTCCAGAAGGCCAGCCTAAGGCCACAGCACTGTCACTGGCAGAACTGATTCAGTGCTCTGCCACATCACCCTTCTCTCTTCTGCAGCAACTACAGCAACAACTTATGTTTCCAACCACTGCACAATCACAAAGATAGCAGTGGGAGCACAAAGGAGGGCATGGTATGACATAGAGGCAAGTGTCCCTGGCTGGGATTACATCCTTTGGTCCCAAAGCCAGCTTTTGCTAGTTTAGAAAAATCTTAAAACTATGGGAAAATCTGTGTGAAGATGTTTCTGGTCACACAGTCACAGGATAGTTGAAGTTGAAAAGGTCCTCTGCATGTCATCTGGTCTAACCCCCTGCTCAAGCAGGGTCACCTAGAGACAACTGCCCAAAGACTGTATCTTAGACAGTTTTTAAGTATCTCCAAGGATGGAGACTCCACAACCTCTCTGGGCAGCCTGTGCCAGTGCTTGGTCACCCTCACAGTGCAGAAGTGTTCCCTGATGTTCAGAGGTGACTCTTGTGTTTCAGACTGTGCCTGTTGCCTCCAGCCCTGTCACTGGGCATCACTGAGCAGAGCCTGGCTCTGTCCTCTTTGCAGCCTCCCTGCAGGTATTTACATACATTGATGGGAGCCCCTTGAGCCTTCTCCAGGCTGAACAGTCCCAGCTCTCTGAGACTTTCCTTACGAGAGGGATGCTTCAGTCTCTTCATCATCTTTGTGACCTTTCACTGGACTCTCTCCTGCAGCTTCATACTGGTGCTCTGATAGTCTGATCCAGCTGGCAGATATGGATAGCATGCTCCCTTGTCTGCCCTGGAAAACTGGAAAGAAGATGGCAGGCAGGGGAGCATATGTCCCTATCCAGAACAGGGGCACTTTTGATCCATCAGTGTGTAAAGCAGAGTCTGTCTCAAGAGTTCTGTATCTTGTGTTTGACTGACTTCTAAGGGAGCAGCTGTAACTACCAGGCACCACCTAAATGTAACATAACTCCATCACAGACTAAAAAAAAAAATTCTGTCTTTTCTGGGTAGAAAGACGTTTATGCAGAGACTCAGCATAATTTATTTTTACAGCAGGTATAGCAAACTAAGACAGTTAAAAGGCTAAGTCTCCAGAGCTCTAGATGCTATGTAAATAAATGCTAAATAATTGCCTGCATTAAACTGTGGTTTAATGTTCAGCAAGGAAAATAGCTTTTGTTTTTTTTAATTAAGTTCTGATTTTATCTATAATTCTAGACTGTTCTGCTTGTTCGTTTACATGAAAAGTCATCCCACTTGTTGAGTGTCAAAGCCTTATTCTGAAACTGCATGAATAACACCAGTACTTCCAAAAGCTATGTATCAAATAGCTTTATGTGACTAACCTAAAGTCCCTCAGCCAGCAATATAAGCAAACTGAGCTAACCAGGCACACACATTCTTGCTGTGGATATGTCAATTTACAAACACTCTTCTGAATAACAGAGATAATGACTGTGAGGACACCAGTCAGCACTGCGCACTCACAGGGGTCCCAGTTAGTCTCCTGTGCACAGCAGGATCAGGTAACACGTGGAAATGCACAACTCTAACTCATGCTCACAGTCAAAGAGCTGAAGTTGAAGGCGCTATCATCCCACTATTGGATTTCCCTTGATCTGTAGCAGGGTTGGTGGGAAGAAACCCGTGCCTCCACCTCTGCTGCTTTCAGGCCACAATTTAAATTCTTGCTATAATCCCATCTTTCTCAGCAATTTAACCCATTAGACTCAACTAGAAGATGCAAGATGGAAGGCACAGGTGCATGCTCTCCTCTGCATGAGAGAGGGTGATGATGGGCAGTGGGACAGAGCAGCACTACTTCAGCCACCAGAGCTGGGCTGGTGTGGGCTGGCCCTTCAGGACAGATGTCCTCCCACACTAGGCCAAAACACGGCTGCTAGCTTTAACTACATTTTTTTACAGGGTTTTGGACTTCTCTCTGATGAGCAATGATGCTGGTTGTCAGTAAGTTATCCACTGTGATCCCTCCGGATTTCTCTTCACGGTATTATTAACTTAGTCTGTGACTCCAGTTTTTATTTGCAGACAATAACCATCCCTGAACAAAAGTCTCCAGCCTGAATAGCTGGCAACCCCACTGTGAGTACCCAGTACAACCAGGGAGAGCAATGCTGTCCCCAGGCATCAAGGACAGGTGCATCACTGTTTTGGCCAGGATGATGCAGCAGCAGCACCTCTTTCACTGCAGAGCCACTGTCCTGCCAGCCCAGGGGTGACCGAGTCCTGGTGCTTATCTCCAGCCTCCCAGCCACAGACCCGAGACTTTATAACATGTAAAAATAGTACATAAAACCCCCCTTCTAGTGACCTGCTTATTTTTTGTAAAATCAGAGTATTGCTCACTTGCTGCAGACACCAGTCTGCTTGTTTAAAAAAAAATTATCCCATTGGCAGACAACCAATACACAAGAACATTTATAAAGAAGCTGTTACAGTTTATCGTGCAGTAATCCATGGATTAAGGTCATTAATAGCCCTTGGTGACATACTGCCATGACTCCAAAGGTGCTCTTCGGGCTTACAGGATATACAGAACATAACCCCCTCATAAACATTTCCCCTGAGATACTGTCTTCTAAATCTTCAAAAGAAAAGAAGAAATGAGAAAAAACAGAAGGCAGATGCCTAGCACAATATCTTGCAATGCATTAAAAAAAAAAGTTATAATGTAAATAAGCCACCCTGAGTTTTCTTTCTTTCCACAGGAAAAGAGTTGTTGGTAACTGGAATTTTGATCCTCAGAGCTAAAACAGCAAGCCAAGACATTCTCCCATGCCCAGAAGATAAAGCTGTAAGTAAAACTTTCAAAATAAAATCTGAAATTCTCAATTCTACTCTTTAATTATTTATATGAAATAAGCTTTCTCCTTCTGTTGACACAAGAACACAAATATATCATCATGGAAAACACTGTGTACTCCTCAAATCCCAGGGGGTCATTAATCTTCTTTTATGCAGTACATGAACTATTTTCACAGAACTTTTAAAAATAGTTTTCTAAAGGATGCCTAATGTCATTAGGAAGTCAGAAGAAGCTCATGCCCTAACAACGTAATTGCTAAATATCCTCCAAAGAAGAGAATCCCTTTGCTCTTCCTAAACTTATGCTCATATCTGCACTATCCATACACATAATTTCCAATGCTATTAATTTACCTGAGTCTTCAATACCAAAAGTAAACAACCCTTTGTGTCAAATCTGAAGTAATGGATAGCATTTTCTCACTTCTGTTGATCTGAAAAGATCTGCACCCTTTCCATATGATTTGTTTCTTCAGGACTCTGGGAATGGCATAGTATTGTGCCACTGTGTATTTTCATTTACCATGAAACAATTATAATTCATAAAATGTACTCGGGAGAATACAATTGTCCTACCAGCTGCAACTAATTCTGTATCCCACAGTCACATGCAATTTTTGTAAACAACATAGTGACATTTGAAAAAAAAAAACCCTTAGAAAGAAATCTTAAAAGCTTCAGTAAACAAACGTTATGAAAAACAACATTTGTTTCAATATGCATCTTACCAAGAACGAATCCCTCATCATTTCCTATTTTACTTTCACTACGATGTAGTAGCATTTTCACTACACATGCAGTTTCTTTTTCTTACCTTTAAGGAATCAAAGCAGGCAATAACTCTTCCATTTTCAACCTGGCAACTTTTAGGGGGATGTGCAAATTTGCATTCTTCATCAGAGCGTGAACAAGTTCCCCTCTGAAACTGCCTGCACACTTCTAATGTCAGCCATTTTGTGTCTCTTACGGGAGCAACATTCAAAGCCATGATGAGAAGCTGATTTTGAACTTGTAAGTTGCTGTCAGGTGAATTATGCTGAAGAAATTTCCAAAACTAATGACAAGGGGGGGATCAGAAAAAAATAACTTCAATTTTGATTGAAAAGAAAGTTAAAAAAACAAACAGTGGGGGACGATTAACGGCGTCCAACACACACAAAGCAGAGAAAGTTTATCAGCAAGCAGTCACTCATCAATCATTAAGTCCCGCTTGTAGACTTTTGGCTGGGAAAACACATGCTCAGTCGCATTTCTGTCTGCAAAACACGTGGGTTTGTTGATTGTAATCACGGATGCACTGGTTTTAAGCCAAGGTCCATCAATGCAATGGCACTCCTTGATAGAATAGCAGTCCTCTGACGATATTGATTACATGAGAAAAGCAATGCAGTCATTTGTTCATGTCCCAGGGATAATAATAATAATCCTTTTTCTGCTTTCAGTTTCCCATCAACTAATTGGCAAATGGAGACAGCTGAGGTATCTTCTGCCAGGTGTAAAGTGAAGGCAATGTCTGGCTGGCAAAGATGGGATTTTGAGAACACAGACGTAGCAGTCCTCACTCGTAAAAGTGACTTGGCAAAGGCACTTTTTAAGTCACCGACCTGACAAAACAAATACAGCATCAGTTCACATGCAACTCATTCAAATCAACATTATGAAACCTATAGCCCCTTTTTATCAGATATTATAAACATACAGCCAAAGTTCACTTTTTTTTTCCCCCCCCAAAAAAAAAAATCATCCTCCTTTGTGAAGCTACACACACACACACACACACACGTGACAAGGGAATAACCAGTTGAAACATGTACTGCAGTAATATTCCAGGCAGCAATCCAAAAGTTGGGAATGATTTAAATAGATGAATGTGGCAGACACAATAATTAGGCACACTAGTTGTGAAACAATTCAATCAAATGTGCTTAGTCTCCAAAACATATACAAGAACTTGTTTCCATTAATTTATCACTTGGCCCTTAAGATTGTGTTACTGCATTATAAATTGTTACTCTTTATTTGTTCTTCCTTAGAAATGAAGGCGCTGATATTCTGCTCAGATTTTTTGTGTCTCTATTTCTCAAGGGAAAAAACCCAAATAATATAATTCCAAAATTATAGGAAATAAAACCTTCCATATGCAGACAATGGAGTTAGTTTTCTTGTTAACCTAGAGGCTGTTCTATAAAGGCTTCATAAAAGGGCTCAACCTCCAAGTCACCATGCTCCAGTAAGTCCTTTCTAATATGAAGCAGTCTTTATCTAAATATTATTTTGATTTAATTAGCATTTGAGTACCTCTGCAAATACATCCTTCAGCATCAAAACCTCAGATTCCAATATGGCACTTAAACTATTTGAGGACTTTAAAATACCTAGGATATTTTACAGAAAAACAGATCTGAAAAATCAAAGGGTTAGATACTACAAAAAATTTTAACCACTAACTATATTTTATACACAGACAGCGAAACCATGAACATGATGATTCCTTCTATTCAGCTTCAGAAGAACACAACTTCTACTTTTCAAATACCAGCCAGAAACAGTTGATGGATTGTTTTTGAGCAAGAAAAAAGAAAAGAGGAAGGATTGGAATAAGTGAGATTTTAAAATACGTCAATAAAAATAGTCCTAAAAACACTGTCAGCTTTTCCGTGTCCAAACAATTACCATTCTGTGCTTGAATTCATTGGTCTTAATTGAAGTCAGTATTGCTAGTTAAGTGAGTAAGAATTACTCACACCCAGTTTGAGGATCAGATCCCAGTTCTGACTTCTAGGTCTTCACATCAAAAGGCTTTTCTACTACTTAGCAACGCTACCAGAAGGGGTTTTACTATGTGACCAATACTTACACCAAAAGTTCCTACTGCTAGCATGAATAAAGGCAATGCAATGCTAGCTGTTCAAAAATTCATTTTCAAGTCCAATGTGCAGTGAGATGGGTCTGGATGACACTTAGATAGCTTTATTTGTCATAAAGAGCAACAAGGCACAAGAGAATCGGTACAGTTTTAAATAATTCTATACAATTATAGTACAGTATATAAATTACAATCTCCTCAAATTAAATATTCCATCAATGTTGTCTGACAGCATCAATGAAGAATGAGATTAAGCTGAAAGCATACAAAGAGGTGAGAAAATACTCATAACTGATGAAAAGGAAAGAGAGGAGGAAAGACAACAAGAGCCTCTCCACAAGGGCTTGTTGAGCTGATAGCTTGTTGGGCTGATGATTTAGCTGGCTAAATGTAAAAAAGGAAATACTCTCCCTAGGGCCATACATTCCAATTCAGAAATGTCAGTAACGGTTTTCAGTAATAGATGTAGGAGACAGACGGAAATTTTGGGAAAAGGGTAAATGTTATACCGCACACTGCTGAAAGTCACAAGTAGTAATACTCTGCAGGGCTGCACACCATAAAATTGACAAAGCTGGTTCTCAAGTAGTAGGTGTTAAGCCTGAAAAAAACCAGACACAGCACGTGGCAGCAAAGCAAACAGCACACAGTATAGAAATGGCAGTAGCCATGGTTTTTCAAAGAGAAGTGCACAGCAGAATCACATACAAGATTTGTGAGATTACAGCAAGAATTCTTACCAAAAAGCATTTGAGATTGGAGGGTAGAAGAGTGAAACACAGTATCGTTCTATTTCTTACTCTCATGCTACATGAAGATTTTCTAAAGAAATGGAAGCATGGAAAGTTTATCTCAAAAATCCATGTCTGGTCAAACATAATGCCTCCTGATTTCTCAAGTCACCAAGTGCCTCAGGAGCTTCTACTGGTACAAACTCAGGAGACAGAATGGAGTCCTTTCTTCAGGAGGCTATGCATTCAGCAGAAGGCAAGTGCAAACATAGTGAGGATAGAGTAATTTGGAGTCCTTCATCCCTACCACTTACATGGCCTATGTGTTCACAATCACATGCTAGGCAGCTGTCATACCTCCTCTGCCCATCACCTGCACCAGGAGGATGAAGGAAGAGAGGCCACCTTGAAAAACTGAACACGGGGGACGCAAAACAAGAAGGGAGAGAAAAGACAAATCAGAGAATAAAATTATGGGACAAGCCGAGAAAAGTAGAATTCAACATATGAGGAAAGTGCTCAAGAGGAGGAAAAAATGGGAGAGGAAGACAGGAAAAGGAAATAGCTGGTTGTGAAACATCTAGCTTTTTTCCCAGAAAGGAAGGGAGAGACTTCATAGGAAATGGAAGAAAGATGGAGAAAAGTTGTGAATATTGCAAGAGAGAGGGACAAGAGAAAATTTTAGAAGGAAAGTTTTTATAGGGAAAAATCCAGCAGTTTGAGTAAACAGGAAAGCAAATAAAGGGAAAGAATGGAATTTACATAAGAAAATACAACAACAACAACTATAATAATCCTCAATAAAATGCCTGCCAGGTTACACACCATTATTAACATCACAGCTTACCCTGACCTTGTGTGTTGCAAAACCCACTAATCTGGAGAAAACCAGTGTCTCCAGCAAATGCAAACCCTGCTCTTTTTCCTACTATTTCTAATTGTGTCCCAGCATATCAGCCAAAGTTAGCTGTCCTGCCAAAACCATGGTACCTCACCAGCATAAAGCCCTCAGCACCAAGTGTCCCTTATCCTGGCAGAAGGTTTTGTTTGTTTGATGATTTTATTTAGTGGTTTAGTTGTCATTATCATTAATGATCCCAACTCAAGACAACACTCCCCACTAGAGCCAAACAAACTATCAAAACTTACAAACAAACAACAGAGCTGCAAAATATTCTTACTGAAGATGAAGGAAGTACTCAACATAAGAACAAATTCTTTTTGCATTTTTACTACTCAACATAAGAACAAATTCTTTTTGCATTTTTACAAGTATTATTGTTTATTTTCAGTCTCTCACACAGTGGAATCAACGGAATTGATCAAGAATGCACACTTACAGATGCAGTTTTCTGTAGGTTAAGTGACATGAAATTCATGGATACGTATTTGTAAAAGCTGTTTAGCTTTGGATCCCTTTTAGGATAAGCCTTTCACAGAAAGCTAGCAAGGCATAGGAGTAGAAGGCCTTTGTCATGGTTAAGGAAAAAAATCCTTTTAATTATTAAACACGACAGAGCAGAGAGATACTAGAAGCCCACAGAAAAAGTTCTCAGAGAAATATGGGGCAGGAAGCCTCATCTTTGGGAATTGCAAGTGAATACAAAGCCTTGCCCTATTACAAACCAGTTGGATCTTTCAGCTGGAAAATACGAGCTCTTACTATCTACAAAATATGAGGCACTTTGATGCAGTAGTTTTACTTATCAGCCAGATTATGTGGCAATGGATGATGCATTATCTGTCTAAAGGTGAAGCTGAGACTTCCTGGACATGATGTATTCACGCTTCAGTAGATAACATGTAGTAATGAGCAAAGACCTCATCTTCAAAAGTCATCTCTGCAGGTGATGACTTCCAGTAAAGGAGCACAGTCTTCTACATGGTCTCAGCACAGATCTCTAGAGGAACTACTAAGTCCCCTCAAAAGGTGTTAAAACAGTTTTACACTTTTTGAGGTTTAAACACTCTGTATTATTCATCACATAAAATCTTCAGTAAGAGATGTCAACACTGGGGGTCAATTTGTTGCTCCTCCTGTCAAATTTATCAACATGACCCATATATTTATCCTATAAATATACCAGAAATTCAGGAATTAAAAAGTTAGAAAACCCTCAGTTGTACTTAAAGGGGACTGTGCAGTTTTAAGTACATAAACTCTTCTTTCCCAGATAGAAGAGATGAACTAAATGTAATTAGCCTTACAAGTTTGATGATCTGTAAACAATGCTCTGTTTTAAAAACAAGGAAACAAAAACCCAAAACCAAAACACCCCCAAACCCCAAAGACTCACTATGCTGTGAAAGCAAGGTGAGCCTTCTCTAGGTCACTAGCAGGGAGAAACATGTTGACTTACAGACTGCTGCCCAAATTTAATCAAACACATGAACTCAGGTGAGAAAAAACCTTCAGGACCTATCTACAGCCACTAAAACTGACCTGCTGGATACTCCAATGCCAAGAAAATGTATTGAGAACTTAGTTTTCAAACCCAGCATGCATATACTGACACTCTTCAGAAACAAACTGTTTTCTTCGCCAAATGTGAGATCTTTTTCAGGAAGACCAAGGTCAACTCTCTAATCCCAGGGAAATGATACTGTACAATTTTAAGCCCTTGGCCCAAAGCACGTTGCTGCTACAACTTTTATCCATTTACACACAAACAAAAACTCATGTTGTTTTCGCCCAGAAAATTATGTTCATAGTCTTAAATTTCAGAAACTTTTTAACAAAGAAACAATAACAATGACTGCAGGAGACACCAGGCCCAAAGGACTTCATGACAATATTTTAAGGTCTGGTTGGAAGCTGGGAGAAGCAGAAAACAGGCTGTCTGCCCTTAGACAGGGTTAACCATAAGCATCACTTAGCTTCACACTCCACAGCACAAGTTCACGAGCCAGAAATGTCTTGACCACATACTACTTTAACTCAGATTCTCATGATGCTCATTTTTGTTCAGGAAATAAACTGATCTCTAAGAAATAAATGGTTTAGCCA